CTATTCTATTCTATTCTATTCTATTCTATTCTATTCTATTCTATTCTTGTTTCATTCTTATTCTGTTCTATTCCATTCTATTCTTGTTTTATTTCTACTCTACTCTACTCTACTCTACTCTACTCTATTCTTGTTTCATTCTTATTCTATTCTATTAGAATATTCTATTCTATTCCATTCTATTATTGTTTTATTTCTACTCTACTCTACTCTACTCTACTCTACTCTACTCTATTCTTGTTTCATTCTTATTCTATTCTATTAGAATATTCTATTCTATTCCATTCTATTCTTGTTTTATTTCTACTCTACTCTACTCTCTAGTCAGCAAGAAAGATACTATCTGACTTTGGTTAAATTTTGGTGTTTTTTTTGCAGCGTAACAGTGTAATAAACATTTTTCTGTTTCTAACCACACTAAAGTAATATAAATTAACATATTTTTGTTATTGTTTCTAACCACGCTATGCATTGAGCTGCAGTTTGTAAAAGTTGATGCTTTTATCCTTTTTTTTAACCGAACAGTTAAGATTTCTACCTGACTGCTTTTGATTTTTGGATGCCGTGGATGAACACAGCTGTGTCCAAAATGTCCTTAGTTTAAAATACATAGAGGTAGTCCTCGAATTACGATCACAATTGAGCCCAAGGTTTATGTCGCTAAGCGAGATAGATGTTAAGTGAAATTTTGTCTCAGTTTATAAACTTTCTTGCCACTGTTGTTAAGTGAATCACAGCAATTGTTACGACATGGTTGTAAAAGTGAATCTGGCTTCCCCATTAACTTTGCTTGTCCGAAGGTTGATCACAATAACCCTGAGACACTGCAACCGTCATAAATACATAAAGTCAATTGCCAATTGCCTGAATTTGGATCATGTGCTGCAATGGTCGTAAGTGTGAAAAACGGTCATAAGTCGCTTTTTTCAGTGCCTTTATCATTTTGAACAGTCACTAAATGAACTAAATGTAAGTAAAGGACTTCTTGCATATATTTTGCATCCTTTATTTTACCTGTAGGGGTAAGTAGAGAGTGTGATGTGGGAAGGATTGGAGCTGTCAGCATTTTCTGATTCATACCAGCAAGTTCTAGATTAATTGTAGTTAAAGCTATTTGAAAACAAAAACACGGTACACTAAAGTTTGCAAGCAATTTTGGTGCATATTTCTCTAAAGGCACTGTTCTTGGAAAGGAAGGCAGTTTTACCGAGTGGCCACACTCTTCCCTAACAGAATGCATGTTCGTATATTTTCAAATAAACAGAGGTATTTTGCAGGTAGCTGTCTTCCATGTTTAAAATTCTGGTAAATTTTAATACAAAATATTTTATTATCAGATTTAAAAACCTGGCACCCCACGCATAGAGCAACTGTGTGAAATTAAAAATATAGAGAACTATGGTGTGCAATTAAAAATATCGAGAATTATGCCTACAGAATGCTAGATTTCAGTTCAATCTTGCCTTGAAAATACAGAGTTAGAGACTCAAAACTAAATTAATTTATCCCTAATCCCAATGGGGTTTTGCACCTCAGATGCTATGCATGTAGAGCCAGTAATTTTCCCCATGAGTGAGCATTCCTGGAGAAGACCTAATTAATTCAATCTCTAAAATAAATCTGGCTGTTGGATTGGATTTTGGAAATCAAACTTCTACATTTTCCCAGCCAGAAACTCGTGAATCTATTTACCTTCTGAATAGCAGCATATATTGACAGATCGATTATGTGATGAAGAGAGATTATTCTGTGTTAGGAAACCCACCCATTCTTAGTCTAGAAATATATGAAGTTGGGGTTAGTTTTATCATATTAGTTGTTTCGTTCGTAAAAATTGTTTTGTTCTGTTTGTAAAATCCAATGGCATTCAAACTGCCTTAACCCATGGCTCTCCTGGTACCTCACTGTAATAAAAAATAATATTAAAAGACTATTTCAAAAGGGAATTCCATTGGAAGAAAAGTGGAGGGACGGGGGAGGGGAAGATATCTTTTTTAAAAAAAGGAAGATTAAATAAAAAGAGCAAGATAAACAAAAGATAAAGCTCCTTAAAAGGGAGTGTGGATTCATATAGGTACTCTTCCGGAGTTTTAGTCATTGCGAGGGTTTTTGCCAATAGATGCATTTATGATTTCCAGACATGGATGACGCTCAAAAATGCATTTCAAATTGTCCAAATAAAATGAGCACCAGTGTGGAATGTAAGAGAAGAGCATCGTAGCCGAACGAGAAAGGCAGAAATTCTGTGCATAACATGTAAATGTCTGGGAATCCAGGAATTTTCCCTCGTAGCTAGACAACTACCGGATAGCGCAAAAAATATCTAGCACCATCTTCAACTTCTCAGAAAAGTGTCTTCCAATCTCCAGTCTCATCTCCAGTCTTCATAACACAAAAAAACCCCTGTTTCACAGGTTTGGTGTAAAGTGATAACTTAAAAAACTAAAAAACAAACCTGTCGACCTTTTCCAGAAGTAGTAGTGAAGTTTAGAAATGAACTTTGAAATGGTGACCACTGTCATCTCCGTCTCCTCCTCCTCCTCCTCCTCCTCCTCCTCATCTACTGCCCTCCCTTCTTCCTCTTCTCCTTTTTTCTCCTCCTCCTCCTCCTCCTCCTCCTCCTCCTCCTCCTCCTCCTCTCTTTTCCTCTGCCTCCCTCCTTCCCCTTCTCCTTCCCTTTCCTCCTCCTCCTCCTCTACTGTCCTCCCTCCTTTCTCCTCCTTCTCCTTTTCCTCCTCCTCTTCCTCCCAGAGATGTCCACACAGGGGCAGAATAAGAACAGGGGTGTAGCAGGCCACTGAGGAGCCATGGATACATGTGAATTCCAGAAAATATTTCATTTTAATTCTTCCAGCTGTATTGAATCAAAAAGTCAAGATGGCAGCCATCACCATATGACCAAAAGTCCCCTCCTTGTCTATATATTGACACATGAAAAAAAGAACTTCAGTCATGTGAGAGACAGCTTCATGTGAGATATTTGCATGATCCCACACAAACCAGATACAATATGCCAGCTCTTTCATCACCAGAGCAGTGGTGAACATCCAGCAAAACCTTGGCCATTCGTGTAGAGAAAGCTAAGCAGCTGTGTGGCTTTACTTGGATAAGAGGCTATCAAAAAAACTCCTATCTATATTTATAAAAGCCAAGTACCACTCATGCATCATCACAAAATCTCCAGAACCGTAAAGCCTACAAACTTGAAATTAGGCACATATGTTCCTCTTGGCTTCTAGGTGCTTGCTAAGAAAGGATTTTTTGAAATGACCATCAGAGCATTAGTATTTCCTATATTATTATTATTATTAACACGCTCTGATGCTAAGGAGTTGTACTTCCCCTCCCCCTCTGAAAAGAAATCTGTTCCAACTGCCAGTTGCCTCACATTCCGTTACCTCAGTTCAAACCGGCAGACGTTCCACTCCTTCACTCAGGAGCGGCCTGGGGCTCCTTACAGCATTAAACATTGGTACCTCACCCAAATGTCTACGCCTTCCGCCGATGGAATTGCTTCCAGGCTCAAGGCGGCAAGAGCGATATTCCCTTATGTGTTTCAATCACCGGCCACCACTGAGCCACCGGATTGTGAACCAAATTTCCCCTGTATAGCCCGACCACAAAGTTTTGTCGCAAAGCACGGGTATCCAGCTAGTATCCATATAATTCCTAGAAGTGAAGTGTGGTCTCAAAGAAGAGTCTTCACACCAGCCCATTCACATTGGCTGGAGAATTCTGGGCGTGCATAAGCGTACCAACGTGCCTACCATCCTTGTCCTATTGTTTCTTTTATTTTTTTTAAATTTTTCTTATATGTATCCATGTAGTCATAACTATGTTTTTACTTATACCTATTATCTTGTAAGCAATTGACAAACCAAATAAATAAATAAACAAAGAAAGAAAGAAATAAAGTCTACACATCTTAAAGTTGCTCAGGTTGAGGAGTACTGCTTCCAACCTAAAATCTGTTTCACAAAGCAAAGATTTGTTTTGGCTCTGTCTACACGGTTACTCGAAGATGCATACAGTTTGCGTGTCACCCCGCAATTTCCTTGCAAAAATTGGAAAGGCCAACAAACCTTAAATGTCTCCTTTTCTAAATGTGAGGGGAATCAAATTACCTCACGTCACGATGTACCCTGATGCTAAAGCTCCTGTCCTTCAGCAAAAAAAAACAAAAAACCCCAAGTATCTTCTGCTAAGAAATTGAGAAATTAAAAGTCAAATGCTCCTTTCAGGAATAGAAACTGTCTGCGCAATTGAGACAAGGCTCAGGGGAATTGTGTTTTTCTCTCCATTCATGGCTGGCAGGTGCCTTTCGAGTTGCTTTTTGCGGCTTCTTTTCGAGCAAAAGCATTGTGGCTTTCTTCAAAGATTTGAGAGTTTCATCACCGATGCTCTCCAAACCTCAGTTGGAAATTTCTCTTGACAGCATGCCATATTGGGGGAATGAATCTGCACATCAACAAAGTATTTGTCGCATGGACACCCTAACTAAGTTTTTGTCTGCGGTTTGGTTGTGTGGAGAGGGCAGCAAAGGGGAAGAGATGTGGGCACTTTCTCCCCAAACTGGTGTTCAAAGCACACAATCCTGGTTTGCACCATGAGGTGGTAGTCTTCAGTGATGGCGTTTCTCAAACTTGGCAACATTTAAGATGTTTGGACTACAAGTCCCAGAATTCCTCAGCCAGCCATGCTGGATGGGGAATTCTGGGAATTGAAGTCCACACATCTTAGTCTTTTGGCTGGGAAATTCTGGGAGTCCACACATCTTAAGGGCCCCAAATTTGAGAAACACAGGGGTAGATTAAGATTCTTATGCTAACAAATTAAGAATATTTATACTAATCCATTATATTAATGGATGTAGTTATACTAAGATCATAAATCCATTATACTAATGAAGTTAAACTCCACAAATGCTTGCTAGGGAATTGTGGGAGTTGAAGTCCATGTTTGCTAACTGAGGAATTGTGGGAGTTGAGCACATATCTTAAAGGGGCTATGTTTGAAAAAGGTTCCGATTACATCAAACCATTAATGGACATATTTATACTAATAGTATAACTCTATAATACGAATGGAGCTGAAGTCCACCGATGCTGGCTGGGGGAATTCTGGGACTTGAAGTCCTCACATTTTAAACAGGCCAAGTTTGAGATTCACTACTCTAGTTGAAATTCAACCCTGTCACCTTTTAAAGGTAAAGGTTCCCCTCGCACATATGTGCTAGTCGTTTCTGGCTCTAGGGGGTGGTACTCATCTCCGTTATAAAGTATGACTCCGTTATAAAGTATAAAGTATGACTTCGGAGCATGACTAAACACCTCCGAAGGCGCACAGAACACTGTTACCTTCCCACCAAAGGTGGTCACTATTTTTCTACTTGCATTTTCTACATGCTTTCGAACTGCTAGGTTGGCAGAAGCTGCTGGGACAAATAACGGGAGCTCACTCCATTACACGGCGCTAGGGATTCGAACCGCCGAGCTGCTGACCTTTCTGATCGACAAGCTCAGCGTCTTAGCCGCTGAGCCACCACGCCCGCTGTAATCATCTTTTGAATCCTTCCAAATTTTAGGCTCCATCGTCGTTGTAAGTCACAGACTGCATGTATCCCGGTCACAGGTGTTCTGAGCCCCAGATAGCAACCAAAAGTAGTTAAAATATACCATAACATTAAACAATGAAATAAAATAATCCTCTGCCATATTTCCTCCTTCTTTCAGGATGAAGATCACATCATGTCCTACAGTGGAGCGGTCACAGACGACTACAATGAGAGCTATTCCTTCGACTGTTGCTTGACCCAGCCATGCGATTTGATCCCCTACCAGGAGTTTTCCAGGTGGTTTCTGCCTCCATTCTACTACCTAATTTTTCTCCTGGGTCTCGGAGGCAACCTGATGGTCATCGCCGTCTTGCTCCTGGACCGAGCCCCCTTACTCGGGACCGACATCTTCGTCTTCAACCTGGCCATCGCGGACATTCTCCTGGTAGTCACGCTCCCCTTCTGGGCTATCCAGGCCATTCGTGGTTGGGTCTTCAAGGACTTTCCCTGCAAGGTCGTCGGCAGCATGCTGAAGATCAACTTCTACGCCAGCGCCCTCTTCCTCATATGCATCAGTTTCGAGCGGTACCTCTCCATCGTCTACGTCATCCGGATGTACAACAGGAACAAGCGTTTCATCATCTACACCACCTTGTTGGTTTGGTTTGTCTGCTTCCTGATGACGGTGCCCGACTTCGTGTACCTGACCGCTGAGTTTGACAGTCGCCTCAATGTCACTTCCTGTGGTCTCGTCTTCCCTCAGCACAGTACCAAGATGTGGAAAATCGCCCTCATCATCATCAACCAAGTGGTGGCTTTCTTGCTCCCTCTGGTGGCCATGATCTACTGCTACTTCCACATCATCCTCACCCTCCTGCACTCCAAGGGCTTCCGAAAACACAGGGCCCTCAAGGTGATCTTGGCCGTGGTGGTAGCCTTCTTCCTGTGCTGGTCGCCCTACCACCTGGTGCAGTTCATCAACACATTGCTCCAGCTGCAACTCCTGGAGAAGGATTGCCAGTGGGAGGATAATCTGGACATCGCTGACATCGTCACCACCAGTTTGGGTTTCTTTCATTGTTGCCTCAACCCATTGCTCTATGCCTTCGTCGGGCTCAAGTTCCGGAACAAGCTCCTGATGGTGCTGAAGCGACTTGGTTGCATCAATCAGAACTTCTGGAACAGGCATTTCAGAGTGTCCGGTCAATCGAGAGATTCCAGTTGGTCCGAAAGCACAGACTGCTCAAATAACATCTTGTAGAATATTCTGTGGCCATAAGAGCGCCATTGCTATCCCAGAATTCTCCTCTTGGCTCCTCTGCCAGCGGAGGGAAACTGGCACTCCGTTGGTACACGCTAGTCCTCGACTTAACAAGTATTTGTTTGGGGGACCCATTCGAAGTTACAACAGCGCTGGAAAAAAAAAGTGACTTAGGACTGGTCCTCATAGTTAAAGACTGTTGCACCATCCCGACAGTTGTGTGATTAAAATTCGGGCTCTTGGCAACTGGCATGTCATATGATCACCGTTTGTGACCTTCCCAGTTGGTTTCCAAAATGCCAAGTCAATGTGGGGGAAGCTGGATTTGCTTAACAACAACACGATCCACTTAACAGCAATGATTCACTTAACAACCAGAGCAAAAAAGATGGAAAAATCAGGCGCGATTCACTTAATAATCACCTTGCTTAGCGATGGAAATTCTGATCTCAACAGCGGCCATACACTGGAGCTTTTAAAGAAGAGGCTGGACAGCCATTTGTTTGAAATAGTATCAGGTTTCCTTCTTGAGCAGAGGGTTGGACTAGAAGACCCTCAAGGTCCCTTCCAACTCTCTGCTATTCTGTTAAGTTGAGGACTACCTGTGTATATAGCGTTAAGATCGAGCGTCAAAATTCCCTCTATGGATCAGGTTTCATTCAAACTTTCACAGTCCTGAACAAAATGTTCTTCAGATATCATGTTTCCCCCAAAATAAGACCCTGTCTTATTTTTTTTTTTGCCACCAAAAAAAGCACCAGGTCCTATTTTCGGGCGATGTCATCCACTGACTAATCTCACTTGTGCGCATCGTCCCTGGTCTGCTTTTTGCTGTCAGAGGCCTTCAGGAACATCTTCTTCTGCGGCTGGCAAAGCTTTCCTGAAGGCCTCTGCAGCCAATAACAGAGCTCTGGATCGATCTGGAACTTTCTTATCAGCTGCAGAGGCCTTCGGGAAATCCTTGCCAGCCTTGCTGGCTGCAGAAGAAATGGGCCGGCAAGGCAGATGATGGGATGCACAAGGCCTGGCTACAACTGTCCAAAGATAAGTAGTAGGGCGGCTCTACCCCTCCATCTCCACCCTAGCTTAATTTTTACCTGTGCACTCTGGAGTGGGTGGGATCTTAATTAGGGCTTATTTGGGGGGTAGGGCTTATATTGGGAGCATGTGTAAAAATCAAGCTAGGACTTACTTTCAGGGTAGGTCGCATTTTCGGGGAAACTGGGTAGGTGAGACCTGGCAATCATTTTTGAACCAAATTGCTTCCACCTCAGAGTCAAGAAACGGGTTGCCAAATATGGTTTTGAGGTTACCTGTTCATGTTTTCAGTTTCTTCCTCTGCTCAAGAAGAGCTTTCTGACGTTGAAGATTGGGGCCGAAAACTTTGAAGGTCGAAAACCAAAAGATTTCAGGGCTCGTGCCAAAAACCTCTTGAGTTCTTGAAGTCTTCATTGTATCTGCTGTTATTTTGCATTGGCTTGTGTCCTTGTTGCCTGATCGTAAACCTTGACTCTGCACTTCTGAAATGTGTGTAGCCGAAGATTACGTGGTCTGTGTAAATCTGATCAAACGAGAATCGTGCTGAGAAAGTCTTTTGAGTCGGATAGATAAGGACAAACGAGAGGAAAAAGTCATCTCTTCGTTTTCGGTTGGTTCTTCTGGAGGTCCATCATTGGAGAGAAAAAGGACCTTGGCTTTTTTGAATGTATTCAATATTCTAATATTAAAAATATATAAATGCAGCAGTGAGAGTGTTTTTAACTAAATGTTCTGGTCTGGTGTTTTCATTGTTTTTCAATATTTGGAATCTTTGCATTCTTTATTTTATTATATTACTTTTTGCTAGTCTCCTCCTCCTCCTCCTCCTCCTCCTCCTCCTCCTCCTCCTCCTCCTCCT